GAGCAAAGAAGAGCAGATTTGTATAAAATTAATTCACTTGTTGCATTAATATATTTTGCACCTATTTAACCCTTTAAACAGATGAAAATAGAGATAAAAAGAGAGAAACACACCACAGCTGCTCTGCATAGATTAGCTTTAACAATCAGTGTCACTAATTATGGCTGTTTAACATAGAGCCCTCATTGTGTTCAAGAGCTGCAGATGATACTGGGGCTAGAAATGACATTTTAGTCATGCTCTGGACTGACACTCAGAATATCCAACAACCTGCGCATAGAGGAAAATACGTGTCTTAAATTATTTATTTGAATTAAATGTATTTTGGGGTTAATTGGTTCAAAAATAATAAAAAAATAAAACAGGCAGAACTTTATAAAATATGTAATATGTTTATAAAAGATTGTAGTTTTTCCACCAGCTTTTGATAAAATCTAAAAAAAAAAAACAATGTTTTGAAGTAACAATATGAATATTCATGTTTTCTTTTATGTTCTATGAGGTAACACTAGAGTAAGAGTACAAATTATGTGATGAATTCATTTAACAAACCGTATGCATGGTAATTTGTATTTTTTTTTTAATCACTGATGAACATACAGGTTAGTTATGTCCCTTTTTAACAAAATATTTTGTACCTGATTTGTAGTGTTGATTACTATATTGCTTTTTTGTAAAAGACTTTTATTTTTACAAAATAAACATTGCTCTGCTCTCTGGGAGACTTAAAACAGTAAAAGGTATGCAAGCTTGATCTAACAAAAATTAAAATTCTTTGACGTTTGCGATCTCTTAAGATTTGATCATTTGTGATTTCTGATACTGATCTAATATTCTCTGAAGTGGCAACAAATTATATGGATGGTGACTAATATGACAAGCACCAAGTATTCATGACACATATTTCATTAATTTATACATTGCATCATCACCAAGCAAGCAATATTTTTGCATTGTGCCAGTAGATGATACATTACTTAAATATGGATGTTAACAAACACGATGATTTGTAAATCTAAGCAGAACAAAATATCATGTTTTGTTGGATATGGCACCACTGTGCTCTGTAGGAATGCTACTGGCATTGTGTGACATTAACTACGTAGTTCAGACAGCACCTTCATTGTATTTATGCAGGTGCATTCTTGGTGCCATACCTGTTCTTCATGGTGATCGCAGGGATGCCTCTTTTCTACATGGAGCTGGCTCTGGGACAATACAACAGAGAGGGGGCTGCAGGTGTTTGGAAGATCTGTCCCATATTTAAAGGTAGGAAGGATGTTCATTTATTTATTTATATATTTATTCCTGATATAAAGCAAGATTTTGTGTACGTACTTTTTTTTGGACATTTGAAAGTTTACGAAAAAAATGTTCCTCACATAAAGACAATGCTACATTTAAATTTGATTAACTTAGTTTGAAACATAGTGTCCTAAACAGATCTGTCTGGTCCTTAATAATTATACATATTTTTTTCTCCAGAATTTATCTCAAGCAACAAAATAAATAAACATTTTATTGTTATTCACATGATGAAAACCATTATTTTGTTTCCACAAGTCCTTGCACTTGTTTTACAAATATGTCACAGTTAATGCTTCTGTTAAGTCCATTTGCCTTTATTGCCGTGTGAATGACAGTAACCCCCCCCCCCCCCACACACACACACACACACTTAGTATTTGCATGTCTTTCAATCTGTGTGTGTGTGTCTGCCCACATGCCTGCCTGTCTACATGCCAGTCTCTTTTGTCCGCCCATCTCGGTGCTGAGCAGCGACAGGTATTATTTATCTCTCCCAGAACATCAGGTTCTGTTGGCACTCAGATGGACAGCAAATGTAAATTGGGCTTTTAGACTTGTGTCCTGGTTGTCCAGTCAGGTAACACATCTTTTGTACACATCGTTAAGCAGAGCCTCATCCAGGAGAATGCCATCTGAACATACGCTAATGGAGAACAAAAACCATCCATCCATCCATCCATCCGTCCATCCATCCGTCCATCCATCCATCCATCCATCCATCCATCCATCCATCCGTCCATCCATCCGTCCATCCATCCATCCATCCATCCATCCATCCAACCAACCAACCAACAGGTCACAGGGGCAGAAGCTTGAACAGGAAGGCCGAGACCTCTCTTTCACCACCCACCTCTTCCAGCTCTTCTGGGAGAATTCCCAGGCTGGCCAAGAAACAGGAGCATGCTCTGGGTCTTCTCTGGGGCCTCCTCCCAGTTGGACATACCCAGAACATTGCCCTAAGGAGGTATCAAAGGGGCATCCTTTCCAGATGTGTGAAGCACCTTTACTGGTTCCTCTCGATGTGGAGGAGCAGTGACTCTACTTGGAGTCTTTCCTAGATAACTTCACTTTAATCTTGTTCTTTCAGTAACTGTCCAGAGTTTGTAACCCTAGGTGAAGGTAGGAACATAGACTAACAATAAAACATTAACAGGAAGAAAGCTCCAGCAGAACCAGGCTCAGGACAGGTGGCCATCTGCCTCGACCGGTTGCGTTGGGGGACAGGAAAGAGACACAGCCAAATACAGAAGAACTGGTCCAGTGCACCTGCTTCTTGAAAAGAGGCAAAAAGAAAAAAATGTGTTGTTGATAGAAATAATTACAATAAACATATAGAGAAGAGAGACTAAAGATAATAGCAGAGTGAGGAAAAGTGCTCAGTTTGTGCTCCAGCAGTCTTAAGTCTATAGCAGTAAGAAGAATAATTCAGGAAACCTAAGCCTAACTATAGGATTTATCAAAAAGAAAAGTCTTCATTCTAATCTTAAAAGTAGACAGTCTCAGCCTCATGGTCAGAAACTGGAAGTTGATTCCATAAGAGGGGAACTTGATAACTGAAAGCTCTGCCTCCCATTCTACTTTTAGAAACTCAAGGAACCACAGGTAAACCTGCAGTCTGAGAGCAAAGTGCTCTGTTAGGGAAGTATGGAACATTAAGATGTTTAATATATGATGGAGCTTGGTTGTTAAGAGCTTTGTATGTTAGGAGTAATATTTTAAATTATATTCTGGATTTGACAGGGAGCCAGTGGAGAGAAGCTAAAACGGGAGAAATATGATCTCTCCTTCCAACTCTCATTACTCTAGCAGCAGCATTTTGGATTAACTGAAGACTTCTTAAAGAGTTTTTTGGATGTCCAGATAATAAAGAATTACAGTAGTCCAGCCCAGACGTGATAAACACATGGATCAGTTTTTCTGCATCATTTTTGGACAAGATGTTTCTAATTTTAGTGCTATTACACAGATGGAAGAAGGCGGTCCTGGTAACATTTTTAATGTGGGGGTTAAAAGACATATCCTGATCAAAAATAACACCAAGGTTCTTTACATTAGAACTGGAGGCCAGATTAATGCCATCCAGAGAAGGTGAAAGGCTACAAAGTTGATCCCTAAGATGTTCAGGTCCAAAAACCATAACCTCTTTCTTCTCTGAGTTTAGAAGCAGAAAATTAGGATTCATCCATGTTTTTATGTCTGTAAGACATGCATGTAGTTTAAGTAACTGGTTGGATTCATCAGGTTCCATGGATAAATATAAATGGGTATCATCAGCATATCAATGGAAATTTATCCCATGCTGTTTAATAACTTTAACTAAAGGAAGCACATTTAAAGTAAAGAGGATTGGTCCAAGTACTGAACCCTGAGAAACTCCATGACAAACTCTGGTGTAAGAAGAGGATTCATTATTAACATTAACAAACTGAAATCTATCAGTTAAATAAGACTCAAAGCATTTTAGAGCTGTTCCTGTAATCCCAATATCAAGTTCAAGTCTACGTAATAAAATATTGTGATCAGTTGTATCAAATGCAGCACTGAGATCTAACAGGACAAGAATGGACACAAGTCCACTGTCTGAGGCCATGAGAATATCGTTAGTAACTTTAACCAATGCAGTTTCTGTGCTATGATGAGCTCTAAACCCTGACTGAACTCCTCATATAGATTATTTCTATCCAGATGTTCACATAGTTGATTTGCAACTATTTTCTCAAGAATTTTTGATATGAATGGGATATTAGATATACGTCTATAGTTGGCCAGAACTCCTGAATCAAGATCAGGTTTCTTAAGTAAAGGTTTAAGACCAGGAGACTGTGGATCTTCTCTATCCATCACTGATGTTGGCCTGAGCTGTAACCCAACAGGATGATATCATCCACAAACCACAAAGACAACATTTTGAAGTCAATGAACCTTACCCCTTTCACCTGCTGGTAGCTCCATGAGTTGTTTTTTTTTTCATAAAAGTTATGAGCAGAATATGGGACAATCAGCAGGCCTGACAGAGTCAGACTTTCACCCTGAAGGGGTCCAACTTACAGCTGGCAATGCGAACCAGACTTTCAAATGTTTGTATAGGGACTGAACGGCCCATGGCAACAGAACCCCACCCACGTAGCACCACCAACAGCGTAACCTGGGGAGCATGGTCAAATGCCTCCTCCAAGTCCACAAAACACAGCAAAATCTAAAGAGACAAACACTAAGTTTCATGTTTGCTTATTAACTCAGTAACACCTTTAAAATATATATTGAAACTCTTTTCTCGAATCAGTATTTTATCCATGTTATACACTTTACAAGTTGAATTTTTTGAATTCCACAATGTTTTTGTTGAATTGCACCCTGCTGAATTTAAGCCAGTTTTCTTCAGTTCTTAAAGTAATTTAAGTTTAGCAATATGCACTGCAAAAACAACCTCAGACAATTTCAGAAGACCATCTGTTGTTTCACAGTAAAAAACTATAGGGCTGTTTTCTGTGAAATCCTGTTTTAAATGTGTAAAGGTTGTCTAAAGTGTCAATTTGTGTCTTCCTATCTGTTGAAGACCATGTGCCTCCTGTGCAAGAACATGTGCTGTCTGTCAGAGACCAGACTGAGGATGTTGACGTTCTAATCACACGCTTCACTCTCTCTTTTTCTGCCTCCCAGCGGGAGGATAACAGTAATTATTCCAATGCACATACACATGCCCGTATTGACAGTAATTATTCTGATCAACAGGCTGGTTTCCTCTCAGGATCAATGCATTTGAAGAAAAGCACCAAGACAAACAGAGACGGGGAGATAGCATGGCCACATGCAGTTCTAATAAGAGACACTGCTCACTGGACAAATATCACATCCACACTACAAAGATATCAATAAGCACAGTTGCGGTCACACTTCTTAGCAAAAGTTTTAACAATTACAGGCAGCCTTAGAAGAGAGGGTACCACTTTAGATTTATAGAAAGGGTAGATGTGTTGATAATTAAGGCATGAAGGGGCTATCATTAAAAGTTGTTTTTGTTGTGGTGAAACCGCAAGCTATGACTGTCCACACACACACACACACACACACACACACACACACACACACACACACACACACACACATTGTATTTGCTGAATGGGAGTGTAAAACAGTAATATTCATTCCTTCCATCCATCATCTTTTACCCACTTCTTTTCAGGGTCTGGAGAAGGACATATCCTCTCTGGTTTGGGAATACCTTGGGTAACCCCAGGAGGAGCTGAAGTGTCAATAGGGAGGGGGGAAAATATGTCTGGGTCCTCACCCTAGGTCTGTTGCATCTATCAGGAAGTGGTGAGGGATGCAGACATATCTTGAGGACTTAATGCAGTTAGGAATTTAATAATAAAAACAAACGCTGGCAGCAGTAAAATATACAGAAAATAAAACTAGAAGGGGTATACGGAACAGACAAGGAGGCAAACAGAACAGGCAGGTAACAACCAGGGTAACTGGATGGTGGATTGATGAGTGATACAGTATAAAGCTGGGCAAATGAAAAGGCTGGGTGGAATGATTACTAATGTTCACAGCTGGAGCAGGTGTGGTGAATTAAGAGCGGAAATGGCTGATGACACAAGGAGATGCTGAGAAACTGAACACAAGGAATCTCAAAACATAACGCATGATAAATTACCATTCAAACATGGTTAACCAGCAGAAAATGGGTGGATGGAGGAGGATAAGAAATTATACGCAATTTGTTAATATGTAGGAGAAAAAAAATAAAGAAATGTTAATCAATAATGTGTGTATTTTGTCTTCCTTACAGGTGTGGGTTTCACAGTGATTCTTATTTCCCTTTATGTTGGTTTCTACTATAACGTCATCATCTCCTGGGCACTGTTCTACCTCTTCTCATCATTCACCAGCGAGCTACCATGGGTCCACTGCAACAACACTTGGAACAGTCCAAACTGCTCTGACTGGGCTGAGAACGGCTCAGTTGGAGACATTTACAAAGCCACGCCTGCTCAGGAGTACTTTGAGTAAGTTTGAGCTACGATTTTTGGCTCTATATGTGGTTGTTTACTTTCCCGTATATGTACACAGAGTGCACACAACTATTTAAGCTGGGGCGGAGCTAGACATTTTTGCATTGGATGGCACAGGGTTGGCCAAGACGTTTTTTAGTGGGTATCATACAAATAATTAAAACTACTCTGATAATTCAAGATGGCCTCCACAGCTAACTTCAAATAGTTATATTTTGTCTGTTTTAATAAATATTGTTCTGAAATCTTGTGTGATCATATCTAAGAATGATCCAAAATACATTGTTAGTCCCAACTAAGATGCTAAAGGGCTATGATTTAGCCATATTTGAAAATTAGCATAGTTTTAGCCAAGCAACAATTCTTTACAATCTGATTTCAAATACAAAATCCAAGATGGTTGCCAAAGCTGATTTCAAATGACTTCACTTCAGCAATTTTTATAAATACCAAGCATAAAATTAGGTGTGTTGGTCACCAGCAGCAATCCCCATGATGTGCTGGCAGCTAATTCAGCTAGCAAAAAAAAAAAAAGTTCCTCTTTAAATGTCCATCTTTGAAATGCTACGTGCAAGCTTCACCCCACTTGTCAATCATTTGAGGGCAGCACTTGGGGTGGCTAAACAGTTGCCATGCCACCTTGGCAACCCCTATGGCTATGCCTCTGTTTTTATCAGATATCAGTTAATAATCTAGAAGACAAAAAAATCAGGTTTTTATATCATGGAATTAATTCTATGGTTGATTGTGTTTGTCATGTGAAGCCTAGCAGGTGTCTCCTGTTTCAGCAAGCGAGGGGTTGTCCTATTGTGGCAGATGACATGTTTCATCCCAGCAGCTAAAGTGGCAGTGTGCTATTTTCACAGAGCCACCTGCAAATAATGCAACCACTAGGACTGAACACTCATTTGGTGCCTCATATCTTCATGTTCAATGATAAATTTCACTTATACAGTTGTGGGAGAACAGTACGGAAGCGTGTTGCTATCAGGCAGGAAAAAAAAATTCCGAGCGCTATCACGTTATAACGTGATACGTATCTTGTTAAAACGTGATACGTATCTTGTTAAAACGTGATACGTATCACGTTTTAACGTGATAGTATCTCGTTAAAACGTGATACGTATCTCGTTAAAACGTGATACGTATCTCGTATCATAATTCTATGTCCAGGAAGTGGCGGTATTATGCTAGT